TCTGAGGGCTGTGGAGCCCCAGCAGGGCCGTGGGGGTTCTGAGGGCTGTGGAGCCCCAGCAGGGCTGTATAGGATATGAGTTGCAGTCATTCCCTGCAGTGTTACAGGGAGGCCCGTGTCTCTGCTTTGTCAGGGGCTACAGTATCTGCTGTGTGTTGGGCTCTTAAGTGTGAAAAGAAGCAGATGACTGGACAGTAGAATGTAGGTATTCTTCTTCTTTTTATTAGGTATATAGTATTGATGCTGATGAGACCATGTGGTTTTGAAAATAAAATCTCTTCTGGATTTAGCATTTCCTTTTACGGTTAGTCTCCTGGATTGAGACACTGCAGTTCCATGTTTTCTCACTGGGCGGCGCCGTTGGCTACAGGGCTGAAAAAGTGACGTGGCTGTTAGGCTACAGGACTGAAGGATATAACAGTGCTTTATATGCTGCTATAAAGCATTTAAGGCATAATTGAAAGGTTGTTTTTGGAAATTCAATTATCCATTTTGTTGGTCTTTTAATGTCTGGGGAGTATAAATACACATTCATCCTTTTTTATGTGGAGCCTCTGAGGGAAAGCATAAAGTCTTTCAGTGATCTGTACAGATTCCTGCGCAGTTAGATCAGTCTTGAATACTGTTCTCTTCCCTTCCAGGTGTGCTAATCGAATGCTGCTGGTTTGTAGAAGTAGTCAAGGCCAGCCTCTTTCTTGCGTTGATTCTTACGGGACATCGTGCCTTTGGGTGGATGAGGACAATTTGGTCTTACAGGCAGAGGCGCTAGAGCAACAGCAGGTGGTCCTATTCCAAGGCAAGCTAGTGTCCTGGGGCTGGAATTCACTGGAATTCATGGAGCCTTTAGGAACGACCACAAAAACAGACAGTGAAACAAGAAATATGCACAAAGCAGGCTAGTTTGTGAGGTTAAACTGGAACTTGATAAGAGATGGAACTTTGTTTTAGGATCCCAATTATGGGAATGGTGTGGTAGAACAGATAGTTAATATATTGATACGCAAATATAATTTTCTATACATGGATTTTACTAAGATAAAGTAACGGTGTATGCATTTGGCTAAAAGTTGTGTTTTTTAGATCTATCAACCTCTATGGTTTAAATGATGGGCAATGCAGTCAGTGTTGATATACTTATTCATATTCAGTACATTAGTGATCAACATCTGATTAACCTTCTAAATATTCTCCAAGCGTGACTACTGGGGTCAGTCAAGATTTATGAATTTCACGTTCAAGTGTCATTATACTCATACACGGGTATGTGGTATAACAAAATGCTATTTAGCTAGCTCTCAGATGGTAAGTAGTACAAAAAACAACAGTACAATTGTGTAAGAAAAGAAAGACAGAGACACCAGGCAATGTGGAAAATAACAGATAATGTGCAAAATCATACATCAACAGAATGAAATAAAGAATACAAAATTATGGGGAGTGAGCTTCTAGACATGTGAGGTTGGGGTAGATTTCAGAGTGTGTTTGAGTTCTGATGAAGAGAGAAGGCACTGTGAGGGTTCAGATCGTAGGTGAGAGAGGCTGGGAGTTTTACAGTTTGATAGTGCGGGGGTAAAAACTGTCTCTGAGTCTAGTAGTCCGGCCCGAATGCTCCGGTGCCGTTTTCCAGATGGTAGCGGATCATACGGTCTGTAGCTGGGGCGTGTGGGGTCTTTGATGATGCTTAGAGCTTTCCTCAAGCACCGTCTGTCATAAATGCCATGTATGGATGGGAGGGCAACCCCAGTGATGGACTGGGCAGTTTTCACCACCCGCTGTAGGGCTTTGCGGTCAGCAATACTGCAGTTGCCACACCACACTGTGATGCAGCCTGTCAGTGTGCTTTCTGTAGTGCATCTGTAAAAGTTAGTGAGGATCTGTTATCGTTAAAATTACAGCAGTTCTGTTAATGACTACAGTACAATGCAGTGGCTAAATGCTTTTTTAAAGGAAAATAAGATCCCAGTACAGACAACCAGCTGTACATCTCTGAATAGAAAACATTTCACAGTGGAAATGCCCACGTTTCAGCACAGTTTATTATTTAATGGAAACCAAACAAACAGCTATTTCAAGAGACAGTATTTTACATTATGTCCGTCTTAAAGCAATGGTGCCTTCAAAGATTTCTTCAATTTGATCTTTCCCAATGGCATTCACTTCTGTCTTAAACTGACCTGCATGGAGAAGACAAGCCCTTGTGCTATCAGTAGCAACAGCAGGGAATCACCTGGCAGCTGAACGATCACTCCTGCTCTCTGGGAGGATGCTGCTGCTCTTGTTTACTGTGCTGAATTAGAGATGCTAGCATCACAGTTGTCAAAGGATTCAGCCTTCATATGGAAGGAATTATGTGGTTTCTGCTCTTTTAGGAGCCTGTTACATGTCTTGCCTTCCGCACTGCACAGGTTAGTGTTTGTCGTTTTCATTCATGGGTAATTATCTTTAAAATGGTAAGTATAGTAACTAAATTGTTTGCTTGCTGTTTGTATGCATCTGTTTCTGGTTCTATCACAAGCTGATTCAGCAAGATCTAAGCCCATGTGGACTCTCCCATAGAAGCACTTCGTCTTGCACACGAAGATCAGCCTGACCTTTTAGATGCACTGTCTCCGTTCTCGCCTCCAGACACCAGTCGAGAGCAGAGGTCATGTGGTAGGAGAGGAGCTGCTGAGGGTGTAAGTGTGAGGAGAAAGCAGAACGGGTCAAGTCTCTCGTGTTCACTGGCTGGTGAAGACCGGTTTAGCTCTGTGGAGTGACAGTGGACAGTGTGCCCAGGACTCAAGAGACTCAAGAGAAATACACCCCTGACTGCTTATGTGCCTAGCTACAATAAGTTCACAGCAGCCGGGATTAAAGTGTATTTCTGGATTGTGCCTGAGCTGTACTTCTATTAATGAAGTTTGTTAGAAAGTACAGACGCTCTCCTCACTCACTCGTGTCCCTGGGTTCGTGTTTTACTGCTAACTCCTCCACTGGGTTAACTTTTCAAATCCTTTCGCGAGAACATAAGAGTTTGTGCAGACCAGAGCAGGAGGTTTGGCTCACCTCTAGACCACTTGGTTACCAGTAGCTAACTGATACAAAGATTTCAAATCCACACCACTAGTAGCTGATTCTGGACTCCCAGATGCTTTTGGGTAAAGAAGTGCCTGTTCTGTTCACACTTTCAGGTCGTTTCCTCTGGGTTGGCTTGGTCATATCCTGAATTATATCATACAGATCGACAGCAAGTGCTGGGCACACTGTGTCTCGTGTGTGGGGAAAACAGTGCTTGGGGCCTGGGTCTTGGAAATATTGAGCAGGAGGTCACAGGGTTGTGCCTGAGGGTTTGAGCTCACAGCCGCTGTCCCTCCTGCAGAGACGCGCCCCTACGTGTCCTCTGTGGTGTGTGCCTTCTTCCTGGCCCTGACGCCCATGTGGATCGTCATCTCCTCCAAGCACCCGGCCAGCCGCACGCTGCTGTACTCCGGCTGGGAGCCCGTCATCACCGCCATGATCATCAGCAGGTGAGAGCCCCGCCTGGTCTTCCCTACCCCCAGCACACTGGTCCACTGCTGGGCTGTCATGTGCTTGCTACTTTGCTAGGGTTAGGGTTAGATGCTCCTTGGTAAGTGAAAACAGTGTTTTAGGTTGGGAACCCTAGCATTTGTATCTGTGTAAATATTAGTAATTAGCAATATTGACATTAGTATCAAAAAGTAATTATGAATACCATGTAATATTAATAAGCAGGAGATAATATGGTTTATCTCTGTAGTTGATTTCCAGGGGGAAGATGTGGTAATAATCTCTGGTATCAACATAGAGGGGAAAGGCAAAGAATACATTTTTCCCAGTTAGAAATAATGTCTACAGTGCTTCATGTTTAAAGCTTCTTAAAGTTACTGCAGTTAACAGTGTTGGTACATTTACATACAGATTCACTGTAACTTTCTCATAAAGACTGCTGCTCATGCATAAATGATTCTGCTCCTTGTTAGTGGAAGGAGAAGTGCTGTGAAGTACTGGAGAGCTGACCGTGCCCCTAGGAGCCCCCCTGCTTTAGCACAGACAGTGGTCTGAAAGAAGCTCACAGGGGCTCACAGGCCACTGGAACTTTTCCTCCTTCTGTAAATCACTTTCTAGTTTGGCACTCTTTCTCTGCTGTCAGCCGCAGTTAGAGAAAGGGAGGTTGGGAGTATGTGAGGTTATGGCCAGCAGCCATATCACCATGGAACTCACAACTGGCTACCCACCGAAGCCCAGCAGGTGGGAGCCTGGCCAGTACCCGGATGCGAGACCTCCTGGGAAAGCTGAGGCTGCTGCTGGAAGAGGTGTTAGTGGGGCCAGTAGGGGGCGCTCACCCTGCAGTCTGTGTGACGGGGACACTATACTGTAAAAGGGTGCCATCCTTCAGATGAGACGTAAATCTGAGATCCTTACTCTTTGTGGTCTAAAAATTCCTAGGGTGTTTTTCCAAAAAGAGTAGGAGTGTTACCCCAGCATCCTGGCCAAATTTCCCCCTGGCCTTTACCAGTCATGGCCTCCTAATAATCCCCATCTCTGAACTGACTTCATCACTCTGTTCTCCTCCCCACTGAGAGGTGGTGTGTGGGAAGTGTACTGGCGCACCAGAACACTCTGGTGTTCATCCAGGTGGGGCTGCACACTGGTGGTGGTGGAGGGGATCCCCATTACCTGTAAAGAGTCCTCCTTCTGCTGCTGAGCTGGAACTGAAACTCTTCTTACTCAGCAATTGAATTCTGAGTAAATTCTCTTGGGTGACACACACACAGCTGGGCAGACTGGTGTTCATGGCCCATGGTCTCTCGCTTACTAGATTCAACATCTCCACTGTCTGAAGTCTAAGCCTTGTGCCTGCATTGAATAAAATCTCAAATAAAATCAATGAAGCAAGCACCTTTGTGAAAAAATCTTAAGGATGAAATTCAGAGACTTTGTAAATAAGCTATTGCTCAAGTCAATTATAACCATGAAAAACCATCTTCAACCCCAGCATGCAGTAAATAAAATAACTAAACAAAACTGCAGTTCAGCATCTAGCAGCACTACTCCTGATTTTCCTACACACTGTCCTCCACTAAGAGCTGCCTTTCATTCACATTTTGTAGGAAATCAATAAACATTATCAGGCATCTAGTTAAATAACCTTTAATACAGGTACTAGACAAAAAAATGGCAACACCTTGGTCAATGAAGGACAGCAGATGTGTTTGAACACAAGGGCTTTCACACAGCTGTGACTCAAGCATACTGTGGGGTAGGCACATGATATCCCAGCATGCTCAGGGTCATGGGTCTGGGGGCCTACAGATGTGGCCACCAGAGGAGACCACAGTGACCTTGCTGGGTGTCGAAGGTGACGTCCACATGGAACTCCAAGGGAAAGACATCAGCAGCAGAGAGTTACAGTGGGGTGGAAGTGCTCACTCCAGGGTCATGGTAGATGTGCATTAATTCAGATAGCAAGGCCTAAAAAACGACCATTGCAGAGCGGTTGACTACCAGTTTCATCTGCGGTGTGAACAGCCATTTTAATCCAGAACAATCCTCGGAGAATCCGCAGAGCAGCAGTTTCCCAGTCGCTCATCACAGTGGTGCGGAGAGCACAGGACGAGGAAAACGTGGGGAAAGTGTGATGTGGTCCGATGAATCATCCCTCACCGTGGACTCGACCAACACGCGAGTGCACATGTGGCAGCAACCTGCGGATCTGTCCAGCCCCGAGGGCTGCGGACGGTACTCTGGGCAATTTAGTTAATTACAGGTTTTCCAGGAAAACTGAAAAATGGTTTTTAGGGCAGGGCAGCTCCCAGAAGAATGATGTTTACTGATAATAGGAAAAGAAGTAAACTGCTGTGGGCAGAAGAAATAAGTAGAACATGGCGGCCGAGGAGCTTCTTCAGGAGGAGGGGGCTGAGGATGTAAAGGACAGGAGAACAGAGGGCAGCGCTGGTGGGGAGATTTGAGGGAGGAGCATGAGAAGCTGAGGTCTGTGAATGAACCAGGGGTCTCTAAGAAGAAATGAGTTGATCATCGGGAAAAGGGGGAGGCTGTGATCCAGGTCTAAGGGTAGGAGTTGGGGTTCTGCAATCCCTGTAAAGGCTCATGGCCTGAAGAGGTGAACAGCACTGGGTGACTCCAACACAACGCTATTCACTGCCTAATGGGGTTGAGTCGCCCCATGTTGCGGGAGGGCAGGACTCCCAGTGGTTTGATGAGCACGGCACTGGTGTTACCTGGCCTTCTCCGTCACCAGATCAGAGCCCATTCTGTTCTGGAACAACACCCGAGACAGTGTTTACCCCCTCCATCAGCCCGGAGTGAGTTGATGGGACTTTCTTGCGGCAGCTTGGTGCCTCTTATCTCCTGCAGAATCCCAGAGGGAGGTGGCCTCTGTGCCCCCAGTACATACAGGGCGTACTGGCTGCACACGGTGACCCGGAGCCCTGTTTAGTAATGTTACATTGGCGTTCCCATCTTTTCCGCCCTACCTGTACATGGTGCCCTGTTGCGGAGGCAGGTATTGCTTGTATTGTTTGATGCTGCTCTGCCGTCACAGTGACAAACCAATGTTCAGTTTTGATAGTGCTGCAGCTGGTCTGCACGGTTACTGACTTTTCTGTTGTGCTTTGACAAGTGAAGTTTAAATGCAGTTCGTGTAGTGTCCCCTGGGCTGGCAGAAGTGTGGAAGTCCGTCCTAGTGTGAGCTGAAAGGCAGCTCTGGCGCAGGGCCCAGAAGGTGTGGTTGTTTGTTTCAATGAGTGTGTTTTTCCCCGTTCCAGAAACAGGTCATTTTAGTCTCTTTTTCCTCCCGGTGCTGACCTCATAGTTTGGAAGCAGCCGTGAAAATCACACTTGCGTCATGGGAGCGACTCCACCCAGCAAGACTGGTTTGTTGTGTTGTTCAATGTTTTTTCCCCACTTTTCTAGCTCGGGCTTCAGATTTTGATGAAAGTGTGAGTCTCACCCTTGTGTGGCCCTTTTCACTAACTATCCACGCGCGGTGTGCGCCAGCAGCCTCGTTTGACCCCGAGCTGAGGGGCAGGATCTGCGCACGTCACAGCTGTCCTGGAGTAAAGAAGAAACACTGCCCTTTGATTTATCTGTACTGTTGAAAACGATCAATGCATTGTTGGATAAGACAGCTGATGAAGATTTACGTATGTTAAACTGAACTGATTAGTCTGTCACTGACATGTTTTTCAAATGTGTTCATTTTTTCCAGTATCGGAGGGCTCATTCTCGACAAAACTGTGTCTGATCCTAACTTGGCCGGTATTGTTGTTTACACACCCGTCGTGAACGGTAAGAGCCCGATGCCCTCTGTGCCCACTCTGTTCTCTGTGCCCTGTGTGGTCTCTGTGCCAGTCGTGCCCTCTGTGCCCACTCTGTTCTCTGTGCCAGCTGTGTTCTCTGTGCCCACTCTTTTCTCTGTGCCCTCTGTGGCCTCTGTGCCCACTCTGTTCTCTGTGCCAGCTGTGCCCGTGCCAGTCGTGGCCTCTGTGCCCACTCTCTTTGTGCCAGCTGTGCCAGGTCTCCCCTATTGCCAGCTATTTCAGCGGTGCCCTCTGTGCCAGCGGTGCCCCAGAGCCAGCTGTGCCCCACTGCCAGCTGTGCCAGCGGTGCCCCAGAGCCAGCTGTGTCCCACTGCCAGCTGTGCCAGCGGTGCCCCAGAGCCAGCTGTGTCCCACTGCCAGCTGTGCCAGCGGTGCCCCAGAGCCAGCTGGGGTGGGCAGTCCTGCTGCAGGACAGGCAGGCTACTGTATGCAGAAGCTGGAAATAAGAATGGAAAAAAAACAAAAACAAAACTGGTATTTTCTGGGATGAAAAAAATGCCTTTAAGGACAAAACAGCTCCAAACAGATTTTTGCTTAATGATAATAAGTAAAGTTCTTGACTGCTGGTTCATAAGACCTTTGTGCCTCTACTAAGACCTTTAAATGCATGCCAACCTGCACCTGCAGGGATGGGAGTTCACTGTTGCCACACGGCTGTAATGTGATATTGGGGAACCATCCTGGTACAAACAGGCAGGCAGCGCTCTTTCAGGTTCACCCCAAAGGTCTGCAAGGGGGATCAGTGCAAATTATGAATCAGAGGTGAGTGAACCTGACAGCTGACTGTCTGGGCCCTCTCAAGACTCAAGGCTTAGATATTCTGGGGTTGGGGTTGATGATCTACGAAAAACCAGGTGGCCAGGTCATGTAAAATCTCCTCTTCTCACCTGGAACCTTTGCTCTTGTGTTCTCACATAGCTGTACTCCCTGGGACATGCAGACATGCAGACATGTAGATATGTAGATAACGCAAACCGACGTCCTCAAAAGAAAAAAAGAGAATTGATGTGGAACAGCACACACGCAAAAGTAACCTGAAGGAGATCAAGAGCTTCAGGAAATTACCTGGCCTGCACCTGCTCTGAAAACAAAACACAAGTACAGAATGATTGCTCTTAGACTCGGCTTTTTGCCACCGCTGTGATCAGAGAGTGGATGTCCAATTGTGTGGATTCCACTTGGATTTCAGGTCTTTGAGATCTCAACTGTTGATCACTGAATTTCAGATTTTAACATGTGAAGCACTTACTTAATACTTACATTTTTGTGATCATTCCCACTTTTAACCTTTTTATGATTATTTTTCATGTGCAGGTGTACCCTTGTGCTTTTTAAAAAAATGATCCATCATCCTCTGTATTTGCAATGTTCCTGACACTTTCCCATCTTTGAAGCTGCTTTTCAGGAAGTCAGTATTGTGACTCATGGGGTCAGGGGTCAGGGTTCCTATACAGAATAGGAGCCACAGGCCTCAGGGGGCCAGGCGGGGTGTAATCCACAATCATGGAATTTGAGCCCCGTGTAGTTGGAGATAACAGCTCACATGGGCGAATGGAGGATACATTTCTAGATTTGGGATCGGTCTGTTTTTTCCCTGGTGTGACAGAGAGAAGTATCAGGTCCACGGTGGAGTGTGGAGCCCACGGTTGTTGGTCCCCCTGATATGAGGATGATTGATGGATTCTCTGGCCAGTAATAGTGCACAGAGCATCAGCATTTCAAGACGGGGGCAGCACTGAGTGTCAGCGAAGTCTCTGTGTACTCCCTCAGAGTCAAGACAGAGCAGAAACCAATCCCCCAGCACCCAATTTCTTAAACCTCCAGCTGCCCCCATCTCAACATGCACATTTCTGTTCATGTCATGAACCCCAGACGAATCTGGGAAATAATTATTGTATTCCAGCTGGTTTAAGAACCACTTAGTTAAAAACTTTACTTCTGCCATAGATTTATAAAACCAGTAGTCCCTTAATCTGTGTTAGATGATCTGTTTAGACACATGGTGGTTTGTTTTCATTAAGAAGTGGCAGAACAGTGGTGAGACGCTGGGGTGAGGTTGGTGTGGATTCAGTACAGATGGATAGCGGCTGTTGAAGATATTAGCCCATTAAGGGCTGGGAAGCAGCGCCCCTGATGGGTTAACAATTCCTTATGGAAAAATAGAGGGAAAAGGAAAGCACTCCATAAAATGAGTCAAAAAGTGTCCAGTTTGGGGAACAGAGCATGAGACATTTGAAGCAAAGAAAGGTAAAAGTAAAGGATATTGTAATGGAGGCTCAAGTGAAATGGTTTTTCACTATTATGATATCAAGGGATAAAGTGTCTGAGATATGATTATCTTCAGACAATGGCTTATATGAACAGTTTTGGTTACCATGTTCCAAAAAAGATATAACTTGGATCACACACGCATACATCCCTGACCTCAAAGGAAGGCTAAAGGAATTACATCTATCAGTCTTGAACAGAGAAGAGTATATAGGGGCTGGATTCATGTACTCAATATCCTTGACAAAGTCAATCCAGCGGACTTCTTCAGGACCAGCAGTGAAGCTCAAGCCAGAATTGATCCTTAGATCAGTTATACGGTCTAAATTATAAAACTTAAGTAATTCTTTAAATACCTTATTGGTGTTAAAATTTACAACTGTTAATCAGATATTCAGAATAGTTTAATATTAATATTAATATTAATAATTTAATATCTAATATTTGAGATCTTCTATTCCTCAAACCAAGTAACACTTTCCTGTAGAGCATTTTAAAATAGCACAAATAATATTGTCTGTACAAAGTCTGTTTTATACAAATACAAGGTCTACATCTTGGATTACGAACAAACATGAAAGACACTTTCAAAAGAAGGAAGAGTCATTAAGAATAATAAATGGGTGCATTACCCAGCTGTAGAGCTGGGGTGTGTTATTGGGTGCTCTCTGAGTTCTTCCATCTCTTTCTCAGGTATTGGTGGGAATTTAGTCGCAATCCAGGCCAGCCGGATATCTACCTACCTGCATTTCCACAGCATCCCTGGGGAGGTGCCAGAGGAGGCCAAGGGATGCTACTGCCCCTGCAGGACGTTCTGTGGCTCAGGTACTTACCGCTGGCTGACAGTCTTCAGCTACGTTCCTAATCCTCAGTCCCTGTGAAAATTAAAAGTCATGAAACTCATGTCTCCGCAGTAAGATGGCGTTTGTGCTTTAATGACAGTCTTATCGGACTCTTGCACAGCTCCATGTGAACAGATATCCCGGGCTTGTCAATGCAGGGAGTCTTGCTTATTCCAGCTCAGGTCCATCTGAAAGACAGTGGGGCTGTGTCTGGCATAGGCAGAGGCAGAATGCCAAATAAGACGGGGAAAATTTCAGAGTTTATCAGCCTTCCATTATTTAAAAAAAAAACATTCGAAATCTCTACTTGAGTGTTGATTCAAGATTCCCTTTTGCAGTCAAAGGCCAGGTTACCAGTGGCTATTTCCAGAAACCACCAGACAGAACAGCCCGTCCTCGCGGCAGGCCTCGGCGCCGGGGCGCGTGCCCGCAGTGACGCGGCCCAGCGCTGCAGGACGCTGCCCGTGTGTGGGTCGGACCGGAGCGCGGGAGGACAGAGGGCAGCTCGGGCTGGTGTTAGTGGTGCTCGGGCTGGTGTTAGTGGTGCTCGGGGTGCCCATTCGCCCGGGGTTACGGTGCTCCTTTGGAGCAAACGCTATTCCTTCGCGGCTTTTCCTTCCTCCGGACGTGAGTGTCTGTAGGTTTCCTGTGTGCTGTATGGCGTCTTTCTTCTGGGCAGCTTTTCCCACATGGTGTTCTCGCCCCAACAGGTGCCAACCACCGCTCCGCTCAGGTGCTGCTGCTGCTGGTCCTCCCCGGCCACCTGATCTTCCTGTACACCATCCACCTGATGAAGAGCGGCCACACCACCCTCACGCCCATCTTCATGACCGTCTACCTGGTGGCGGCGCTGCTGCAGGTAAGCCGGGCCAGCGCGGTGCGGATCCTGTCCGTACAGCTTCATCCGTTAGGCCAGCTGTCTTCTGCAGCTTCTCTATTGGTTGTCCTCTGGCAGGTCATTCAGGTGGCTGGCAAGTCTTCAGCGGTCATTCGTTTACATCGATTTGTTAAACGCGTGGCCAGCCTCTCAAGGCTTCCTACTTCCCAGTGAAGGGCCGGCCTGTGAATTTCAGGGAGTATTGGGTTCGACAGTCAGTTTTTCCATTCTAACCCGGGACTGTCCACTCTGTGTCCTGGAGGGCCGGTGGGTCTCCATGATTTCTTTCTAACTCCACTCTTTAATGAGCTGTATCAGCCAATCGCTGATGTACTGTAGTGGGAGCAATTTTTCTCAGCGTCTCTCAGCTCTTCAGGTGCTGCTGCCCCTGCAGCCCTAGCCTTACCCTTTCATGTGCTGCATGACTTTTAATACTGTTTGCAGCCATCTGGTGGCGCTGTCAAGCAGTATTAAGCAGTATTGGAGTTGCATCTAAAGATGTCCCAGTGGGTGGCAAAAGGAAGTAAAGGTCAGTCAATGACAGCTATAAAACAGAGTATTCTGCTGTTTCAAACCATAAAGCACGAGTCTCTATTGTAAAATAAAAGAGAAGAAAGTAAACTAAGAACTGAGGTATTTTTCAAGTGTCTGCTCGTGTGCGGATGGGCTGAGGTGTCAGGAGTCTTCCAGGCAAATGTGCCCAGAGGTGACCCGTCCCTGAGGAAGCAGTGAGCGATTTGGTAAACACAGTGGAAAGACGAGCATTCCCTTTTCGCTGGAGTTTACACGTATCTTCGTGCTGCCTTATATTACTTTACTTTCGTTAAGCTTGCACAGCCTCGGTGACCTGGAAGTGAAAGAGTAAGCAAACCTCAGTGACCTGGAAGTGAAATAGTTGAGCTGCTTAGGGCTGGAAAACAAAAGAGAAGTTGTGGATTTTAAAAGTACTGAGTGTCAAATGCCACCCCCCACGCCCCCCCTCCCCTCTTTTAATATAAAATGGCACTGCATTGGACACAGAGTTCCCTTGCTATGGTGCTGAAGTATTTCTATATACAGGCCTGTTTGTCTAGGTTTCAAGAAAGGTTCAAGTCAGACTCTCCAGCTCCTGCCTCCAAAGAAAACACACCCTGCACTTAAATACATTTTTTTATCCACTCTGTGCAGCTTACTCATAAATAGCAGCCTGAGACTACAGAGTTGCCTATTGAGGAGACCTGTGCATCTGAATAATGTATGCATGTTTTTTAGCGAAAATAAACAGGGGGTGTGTTTGGCAGCTAGGTGGAAAAGCTGGGGCTCAGTGAAGTCTTTCATGACCCTGCTGTCTGGTTGCACCTTGTGGAAACTTACAGAGATACATTTCCTTAAACCCCAATTTACATGTTAATCCTGTTTTCCCTTCTTTATCAGAGTTTATGTACTGTGTAGCCTTCACAGCATCTGCATTCACGACACAGCAGTGTGCCAGATATACTGTATCTCATACACCTCGTTTAGAGACGCCCATCAGGCATAAAAGCAGCTAAGCAGTTGTTTTGTTCGGAATATGTGTTTTAAAATATATTTTTTGGTCTTCAGCACCTTTACAGTACGTAGGATTTCTTCAGTCCCCTTCTATCGTAGATATAGGCACCTACTGTACATAAACGAAAGGGTGTTATTTTACCTTGGATAGTCGATGTTCATTTTCACAGTGTTCTCTGAGGATTTGAAATGGATCCCTTCAGGTGAGAAAACCTTTAGGGACATTTCTTTGATCGCCTAACCATGTAACGTCACAGATTGAATTGTGTCGGGATGATCACCGAATGAGCAAGGCTCCTCTCTTCTGTACGCTACTTGGTTTTCACCTGCAGATTCCTTGTATTAGAACTGGGGACGGCCTGGTGGAGTTTGTTCTTGATCTCTGCCGGCCTGCTGGTCGTGCTGTAGAAGCAGGGAATGCCGAGTCTTGCGGTTGCGACAGAGAAGGCTGTCTTGGTTTGAAGAACGTGGCTCGGTACCCAGGCGCACTTGCGGTGTCCTGCACAGCTCAGCCCTTCTCTCTCAGCTCGGTCGGAGTCGGATGAAGCCACTGCAGTCACTGGAGCTGAAGCATCTCAATGTGTCAGTATGGCTGAGCCCTCTCTGAAGCAGGCAGCGCCCGCAGTGCGCTTTTTTTGGCTCAAGATTTTTGAAAGTTTTACCAGAGTTGTGGTTTGTACTTGTACATCTTTACTAATCCGTTTTTTGAAGTTGAACAAGAAAAATCACATTGACCTGCTGCTGTGAAAATGTTACAGGGCTTTGTTTGCCTGTAGCGTGGTTCTTTTTGTAATGTTAGCGGGAACAGCAGTTTTTTAACCACCCTGACGGTGTATGTCTTTGTGCAGCTGAAAAGACTTCCGTCTTGAACAGTCTCCCATTGTGAGGGTGGGAGTGGGATACAGTTAGTCTTTGCCAGTCTGCACAGCTCCAGTAGTGCAACTCCTTCTGTCACATGGTTCTTATATACTTCCTGACTCAGAAAACCTTATGATATCCTGGCCAAATTTCCCCATCGGCTGTTATCAATCATGGCCTCCTAACAATCCCCCTCTGTGAATTGGCTTCATTACTCTGCTCTCCTCCCCACTGATAGCTGATGTGTGGTGAGCGTTCTGGCGCACTATGGCTGCCGTCGCATCATCCAGGTGGATGCTGCACATTGGTGGTGGCGGAGGGGAGTCCCCATTACCTGTAAAGCGCTTTGAGTGGAGTGTCCAGAAAAAGCGCTATATAAGTGTAAGCAATTATTATTATTATTATAATTATGAATTGACACGTATATTACCAGCATGGAGTCAAAGAAATCTAATAAAGCAAACACTCTGTATCTTTAATAGCGTCTGTGTTGCTGTAGTCTTCATGGAGTCATGTATCATTACATCTGAATTGTGCTTCAGCCAGTAGCAGCCCCTGAGCCAGAGCTCCTGGCCTCCTTCGGTCCTGTGGTTCTACTGGGGCTGCTTCCTCACTGTCGTGCAGGCTCTGGTACATGTGCTCAGCAGCAAAAATGTCCATTCGACTGCTCAACACTAAGAGCTGAAAAGCATGCGGTTTGGCCTTGTGTGCCTTTCACCCATCCTTCAGAGCTTTAAAGCAGTTCAGACGTTGGATTGCTTGACTTAGTGCTGAGCAGTCTTCTAACAATTTCTCTCGGCTGGTGAATGGCTCAATATTTCCTCATAGAAGGTCTGTTCTTGTGGAGCCCTGTGAGTGTTTGAAATGTCACAGCTCGTTTCCAAGATTCGTCACTGGAAATATGTGGGCACCTGCACTTTCTCAACCACGGAAACAGCCTTATCAGGAAAACTATACCAGGAATCCTTTGACGGTGGTTTGGATGTCAAAAGTACAGTATGTGTGTTACTGTAGATGTTAAAGCTAAAGAGCTTTTCTTGGGGGGGATTCTGCAGCAGTAGCTGTAACTGCCTTGGCCGAGAGACCTAGAGAAACCAGAGCTCCGCACAAGGTCACCTCAGCAGCAGGAGAAGTCTTGTGATGTTCTTCCCAGCTGTAGTTTCGCCTGGTCAACAAAATAATATAGTCAGACTTTTGTCGAAATTGGGGAATATTAAGCACAGCAGCTACAAAACACAGGCCAGCAGCCATATTAGACGCACCCGACCCAGGAACTAAGCGGACCGCTCCTGTCCTGCTCCTGTCCTGCTCCTGTCCTGCTCCTGTCCTGCTCCTGTCCTGCTCCTGTCCTGCTCCTGTCCTGCTCCTGTCCTGCTCAGTGGACAAGGATCGGATGCAGCTACCCCTCTCCCTACGGGACTCTAAAAATTCACATCCGGACTGCACTGGCCAGGTGTGGGAAATTTTGTATTGTAACTCTCGAGAATTAAGCTATTATTCCAAATACGATTAATGACGTTTAATCCAAGAAAGTTCTAGAATAATCACTTGTCTGTTGAGCGTAGAGTGGTGAGGTAATTATATGAGAGGGAATTAAATTAAGAGGTTGGCTATAGTAACGAGTATTACAGTCATTGTACTTGAACCCTGTTATGATTAATATCTCTTGTAATCTCTTGTGATCAACCGTTCGTGTCACAGCAGCTCATTCACATATTGCACTTTTGTGTTGAAATATTTTGCTCATTTCATCTTTGTATTGTGTTCTTGGACTCCATTTGTATATATATAATATATACTGTATTTTGCCATTGTTGTTACTGATTGATTCCTAGTAGCCATAAAAGTACTTCCAGAGTTTACTATCCCAATTTCTAATTTCAGCATAATTCAGACCATCAAAACATTACAGGAGCATTACATTTAGTTGTGTTTTCGTCTACTGTTACATTATAATCCTTGTTAATAATACCCCCAGTAAAACTGTCGCCCTTAATTTTTGCATTTTTAATTGGATGTTTTTGTGCAGGCTGTAAGCTTTATTGGTGACTGTGAACATGTGCACACAGATGTCCTGTAGGTGTGCAGAGGATCAGAGAACCATCCCTCTGCTGAGGGATCTGTTAGGACTGCAGACCTGCTGTATTTAACCTTGCCCATTCATTTAACAAGCAGTCACAATATCCTTCAGTTAACAAGGGCTTCTTCGTGTCCTGTGGCAGCGAGCATGACAGATTGTTCCATTAGTCTTTAAAGGGAAACATTAATGGGAATCTGATCATACTGTAGATGTCTTATAAAAAACATTTTATACCCCACTCATAATCTTAATGATGGTAAATAGAGTACAAGTATTTTTAGATATGTATCTGCAGTCTAACTCAACCTTTCTTTCTTAAACTGATCTTCTTACAGATTTATCCCTCTTTTGACAGCTGACCGTGTTCTGCTTTTGTGAGGTTTTAGGGAATTGGGCACATATATGTTCGTACAAAAAATCACAGCAGAAGGACCAAGATCTTACAAATTATTACAGATCGCTCAGGGATATGGAAAAAAACCTGCATGTTTCTCCACCTTATCATTTCCTGAATCACAGATGACTTGTATTCAGATGAAGAATAGTCTACATTTTGTTCTTGTTGGCATGTTGGATTATTCCATGTTCACTGAAATAGTGTGAGAGGTGTCTAGTTAAGAGTGGCATCCAAACATTTTGTCAGGTTTTTAAAGACTCCGGCCCCGGTCCTGCGTCCCTCTGGCCCCAGTCCAGCCCCAGTTTGGCCCCAGTCCAGCCCTCCTCCGGCCCCAGTCCAGCCCCAGTTTGGCCCCAGTCCCTCCCCTGTTCAGCTCCAGACCGGTCTCAGTCCGGCTTCCCTCC